GAAGAATGTGAATTCTGTTGTTTGGGGGTGTAATTCTCTGTAGGTATCTATTAAATCCATTTGGTCTAGCGCTTCATTTAGCGTCTCTGTTTCCTTGCTAATTTTTTGTCTAGAGGATTTATCCAGTGCTGTCAACGGGGTGTTGAAGTCTCCTGCTATGATTGTATTGCTGTCGATTTCTCCTTGGAAGTCCTCCAGAAGATTTTTAATATATTTTGGTGCTCCTATATTGGGTGCCTTCTTCCTTCATGAAATTAGGGAAGTTTTCTGTCACTGTTTCTTCAAATATATTTTCTAACCCTTGCTCATTTTCTTCTTCTTTGGGGACTCCTATGATGCAAATATTATTATGTTTCCAGTTGTCCCACAGTTCTCTTAAGTTGTCCTTCTGTTTTTTAATTGTTTTTTTCCTTTTGGTTTTCTGATTGGTTGATTTTTTTCTACCCTGTCTTCTAATTCACTGATCCGGTCCTCAGCTTCCTCTACTCTGCTTTTTAGATCTTCCAATGTGTTTTTCATTTCTGATATGTCATTTTTTATTTCTTCTTGGTCATTTTTAATTTCCAGTTGCTCTATTTTCAGCATCTCTATGTCCGTAGTCATGCTGTTGAGCTTCCTCAAGATCATGGCTCTGAATTCTAGTCTGTTAACTTGCCTAACTGCTCCATATTGATCTCATCTTCGGTGGATGTCTCTTGTTCTTTCATTTGGCTTCTGTTTCTGTGTTTCACCATTTTGGCTATCACAGTGGGCTTTGGAGCCTGTCAAGTTTTCCCTGTGGGTGTTGGTGTTCTGCTGTTTGTGGCTCCCTCTCCTGTGTTTAGATGAGCGAGGGAGGACCCACGTTGAACACCACTGTCAAGTCTTACTGGTTAAAGTTGCTAGCCCAGGAAAGGTACTGTTATCCTCTAGCTTTTTGCCTGGAGGTAAGCAGTTGAGGTTACTTGAAGAGTTTTGGGCTGTCAGTTGATTGAAAAACCACCTCAGGTGCTCAGCATAAGATTTCCTGAGGGTGGGGCAGATGCTAGTCGTTAATGAGCCTCAATTAGCATTTCAATGGCCCACAGGGTGGGGTTGGATCTCGGAGGGAGGGGCTGCTGCCTCTCCCCAGAGACCTGGGAAGGAGCAAGATGGCCACCGTCCTGGGTGGCAGCAACTCAGGAAAAGCTCTGAGTGCCCTCCAAATCCCGAGTGTCCCCACATAGTTCCAGTCCAGTCTGCCCTCCCTCTGCCAGTGAGTGGCTGTGGCTGTTTTAGCCTCTGTCCCGGCTCTGTGCTGTGGAGCCGCCTGGGAATATGACCCGAGGGTGCTGCTCCCAGCTAAGGCTGCTGCCGAGCTGCCGACCGTGGGCTCCCAGCCCCCATCTCGCGCCTTCACAATCCTACCAGGATCAAGTCAGTGACCCTGGTTATATGGTCCTTGCAAGCTGCTTTTCTGTTGCTTTTTCCCGTCGATTTGTCTGTGTTATAGTTGTAATTCCAGTTTGGTTCTGGGAGACGGTCTGTGTAGCTTCTGTTCACTCTGCCGCCATTTTGGAATCCTCTGTATATTTAATTTTATTCCATTGGTCTATGTCTGTTCGTGTGCTAGTACACACCCTTTTGATTGTTGTAGCTTTGTTAAAAGTTTAAAATCTGGAAATCTCAGTCCTCCAACTGTCTTCTTCTTTTACAATATTATTTTGCATATCCAGGGCCCCATGTAATTTCATATAAAATTGAGGGCTGACTTTTCTATGAATAGAAAAGAAAGAGGCCATTGGAATTTTGATAAATGATTGTGTTGAATCTATAATTACTTTAGGTGAGATAGACATTTTAACATTATTAAGTCTTCTTCCCCATGAACTAAGGAAGTATTTTCACTGATTTGAGTTTTCTTCAGTTTCTTTCACCAATATTTTTTGTTTTCACTGTATATGTCTTTTATCTTCTGGGTTAAATTTATTCCTAAGTATTCTTTTAGACACTATTTAAATGGAACTGCTTTTGTAATTGCCTTCTGAGGTTTTTCATTGCCCATGGGTAACAATAGAACTGACTTTTGTGTGTTGATCTTGTATCTTGCAGCTTTGCTGAATTTGTTTATTAACTCTAGTAGTTTTCTTGTGGATTCTATGGAATTTTTATATATAGGATTATGTAATCTGGGAAAAGGTTAGTTACTCTTCTCACTTTTCAATTTGGATTCCTTTTATTTCTATTTTTTGTCCAATTACTGACTAACACCACAATGATGAATATCATTGATGACAGTAGGCATCCTTATCTTGTTTCTGATCTTAGAGGGCAAGCATTCAGTTTTTCACCATTGAGAATAATGTTAGCTATGCAGTTTTCATAAATGCCCACATCATTTTGAGGAAGTTCCATCTATTCCTTGTTTTTGAGTGCTTTTTTCGTTTTTGTTTTTTTAAATCATGATTGGGTTTTGGATTTTATCAAATGCATTTTCTGCATCTATTGAGATGATCATGTGGTTTTTACCTTTTGTTGTATTAGTGTGGTATATTACATTGATTGATTTTCTTATGTTGAACTATTCTTGCATTCCTGGGGTAAAAATTACTTGGTCATGATGTATAGCCCTTTTAATTTGCTATTGAATTAGGTTTGCTAGAATTTTGTTGAGGACTTTGCATCTCTATTCATAAAAGATATTGATATGTAGTTTTCTTGTGATGTCTTTGTTTGCATTAAATGCTTCAACCGAAAGACATATGATGGCTGAATGTATGAGAAAGCAAGACTCTTACATATGCTGTGTATAAGAGACTCACTTCAAATTGAAATACACACACAGACTGAAAGTAAAACTGTGGAAAATGATATTTCATGAAAATGGAAACAAACAAACAAAAAGGCTTAGGTAGCAATGTTATACCAGACAAAATAGACTTTAAAACAAAGGCCATAAAAAGAGATCAAGAAGGACCCAGCAATTCCATTTCTGGGTATTATCTGAAGAAACCCAAAACACTAAATAAAAAACGATATATGCATCCATATGTTCATTGAAGCATTATCTACAATTGCCAAAGTATGGAAGCAACTTAAGTGTCCGTCAATCGATGAATGGTAAAGAAGTGGTGCATATATGACAGCCATAAAAGAAGAATGAAATCCTGCCATCTCTAACAACATGGATGGACCTAGAGGGTATTGTGTTGAGTGAAATAAGTCATACAGAGAAAGAAAAGACAAATGCCACATGATTTCATTTATATGTAGAATCTAAAAAACAAAATAAATGAACAAGCAGAACAGAAACAGACTCATAGATACAGAGAATGTTTTGATGATTGCCAGATAAGAGGGGGGTTAAGAGGATGTGTGGAAAAGGGGAAGGAATTAAGAAGTACAAATTAGTAGTTACAGAATAGTCATGGGGATGTTAAGTATAGCATAGGGAATATGGTCAACAATATTATAATAACTATGTATAGTGTCAGATAAGTTCTAGATTTAACCCAGTGATCACTTCATAAGTTACATAAATGTCTAATCACTTGGGTTCTACACCTAAAACTAATATAATGTTGTACATCAAGTATAACTGAAAAATAACAAAAATTAAAAATAAATATAATAAAAAAATAAAATACAGCTATGGTGTAGAATTTTTTTTAAATATAAGAAATTTTAGCTAATATTAATGTGCTGTTGCCCGAAGAAGGTCTTTAAATGTGTTCTTGCTATTTTGGAATCAGTGGCTCCATTTCTACAGTTGACTTTCCTAGTCTTAAATCCATGTAGTTTCTCTTCTACTAAAGATATCTAGAAGCAGGTATCAGTCATTTGTTTTGAAGTAGTTAGCAAACAAGTAAAATATAAAACCAGAGGTTGTTGTCAGTATATTAAAATATACTGTTGTGTCTGTTGGGGAGGTAAAGTATTGATAAAATGCTGTGTATATAACCCATTTATGTTTGTCCTCCCCCCCCAAAAGCATAATTTGTTATTCATAAATTTTTTTTCATTTAGTAGCAACTTTTTTTTTTTTTTTTTATCCTCACCCGAGGACATTTTTTGTTCAGGTAGAGTGGGAGGGAGAGAGAGGAAGAGAGAGAGAGAGAAACATCGATGTGAAAGGGACACATCGAGTGGCTGCCACCCGCACGACCGACCAGGGCCGGGGACAAACTGCAACCAAGGTACATGCCCTTAGCGGGAACCGAACCCGGGTCTCTCGGGACCACAGGCTGATGCTCTAACCGCTGAGCCAAACCAGCCAGGGCTAGTAGCAACTTTTTTAGAGCCCATTTCACTTGTAGAGGAGAATCTTGAAAATGTTTTAGAAGACTTTTCATACTTTTTGTTAACCAGAATACATATTGACCTAGCTTTAAAATACTGGAACTATTAAGGATTGTGTTTTTGGCTAGTTGGAGTTAGGAGTTGGGAGTCAGTACCTGAATACTGATGCTTTGTCTGCTGCAACTTGTTCTTCACTTCTATTGTATTACATTCACATACCTTTAAAGAGCAGAGTGAAATTAGTGTAACTTTATGGTTCTGAAATGCCAGCCAGTGTGGATTAGTGCTTGGCTAGCTATGTAAGAGTCACTCAGGGGCCCTGGCCAAGTAGTTCAGTTGGTTACAGCGTCACCCTAATATGACATGGTTGTGGGTTCAATCCTCAGTCAGGACACATACAAGAATCAACCAGTGAATGCATAAATAAGTGGAGGGGACAACAAATCTATGCCCCCCCCCCCCAGTCTCTTTTTTTTTTTTTCTCTCCTGTTAAAATCAATAAATAAGAATCTCCCAGAGAAGTTTGGTAAAAGTACAGATTCCCAACTGTTCTGCTCCCTCTTTTTTCCCCCAGTTGGCTTGCATAGTGCCTGGAAATGAAACATCTTTAGCGGACAGGTATGGGAATTATTGCCCAAGAGGTTTCTGAATACATGTCTAAGTCAAGAATGTTATGAATTGATGGAATTTCAGTATGGAAGTTACCACCACAAATTCCATGATTTTTCCCTCCAAATTTACAGGTGTGACTGTGTACGAAACAAAATGTGCGTTGCAGTTTTTGGAGTGATTTCTACTGCCTTCTCAGTGTTGAGCGGCTTTGGCCTGCTGTTGTTCATTGGGGTGCCATTTGTGACCATAGTTAAAAATTCACCATTTCTTATTCTAGGTGAGTAAAACAAAATGTGAGGCTACACACTGTGTACGTGTGTGGGGGTGTAGGATAGATAAGGGAAGGGGCTTATGTTACATTAAGCAAAGTAATTATGTTTAGGTGGCTCTATAGATCCAAAATGAGGTGTCAGGAAAAAGAAAATTAAATTGAATTATGTATCTTAAAATTTTTTTTTCTTTATTGATTTTAGAGAGAGAGAGAAAATGAGAGGGAGAGAGAGATAGAAACATCGATGAGAGAGAACATGGACTGGCTGCCTCCTGCATGCTTTCCACTGGGGATTGGGCCCACAACCTGGGCATGTGTCCTGACCGGGAATCAAACCAGTGACCTCTTTGTGCATGGGTCGACACTCAACCACTGAGCCACACCAGCCAGACAAATTATGTATTTTTAGAGTTGAAAAAATCTAGCACCCTAAATGGAAATACAAGGAACATGAAGAAGCAGTATACACACACACACACACACACACAAACACACACTGGAAAATACAAGAAAAATTATTTGATTTCTCAATCAAGGAATTCAAATAGTTTGCTTATTAGATGGAAAGTTTGGGGAAAGTTGTGTGCAAACGAACATTCATACTCTACTAGAGGAAATTTTAGTATAACTTTGCAACAAATCAAAAGACTTGAATATTGAAAAGGAAATACCTTTGACCTACCAGTTCTACTTCTAGGAATTTGTCCTATTAATTGGACAAGTGCTCAAAGAGTAGAACACATATGTTCATTTTGGTGTGATTTACAATAGGGAAATATTGAATATAACTTAATTCCATATCAACATGGGATTTGTCAATTCAAATATAGTATATTAAAATTTTGGAATCATTTTCAGTCTTTGAAAAAGAAGTAGATGTATAAAAATGAATAAAAAATATACTAGATATGAAATAAGATGTTTGAAATAGAGTGGTACAGTTATATAGAGCACATTCTGGATGGATGAACAATCTAAATGTTAGCAGAATTATGCCTGAAGGATAGAATTACAGTCGTTTAAATTTTTTGCTTGTATTTTCCTGTAATTTCAGAATTTATTTTAGAATAAGCATGAGAAAACAAAGGTGTTTATATTTTGGAAAGTAAGCAACTTGGAAGAAATATTTGGTTTCCTGGGGGAGACAGTGGATCAGCTATACACTGGATGTTAGCTTATTTATTCTAGCTCTTCAGGGCACAACTTCCTCAAACAAACTCATATTTAATCACTTAGCCTCCCCTATAGCAGTAAATAACTAATTTAATATAAACCATTTTTGTATAGTCTGTGTGTACACAGGAGTGTGAATATATGTGTGAGTGTGTACTGCAGCAAGTCGAGAACTATGTATGTGTGGATAATTTCTTAACAATGTTCTATAAATAATAAAACCAGTGTTTAAATACCTAATAAATATCAGTGAGTTCATTCTTGGTTCTTAGTACTTTTGATTCTTCCCTTTTGTCCAGCTGAGTACAACTGGAATCCTAAAGCTGACAGCAGTGGGAGTTGATGACAGACTACATAGACTTATGTCAATTTAGATCCTTCTACCTTGATTATACCCATAGAACGTCTGAATTAGAGGCAAAGTTGGAATCCTCAGTACTGTCCCATGCAATCCATAGAGACAATCCCCCCACTTTAAATTAAGATCAGCATTTTAGTTCCAAGTATTGATTGTATCAATACACAAGGAAACAAATGTGTCATGAGTGAAAGTACTATCAGCTCTAGTAGAAAGTCTGAGGAGGTAAATTTATCTGCAACATGCTCATGCTGTTCTTTTTAATCCCCTTTCTTCTTTGTAGTCCTCCTTTCTCAGTTTTTAATGATGATTTCAAAGTCTGTGCTCTTCCAAACCAATCATGAAATGTCATTGTGGAAGAAAAGTAATGACCTAGTAGGCACTAATATGTAAAGGATCCTTGAGATTTACTTTGGTACATATTTCTGATATCAAGAGTACTTTCATTTTAATAATATAAGGACTTAAACTTGGCAAGGGAAGCTTGAATGATAGCATTCTGGCTATCAAAAACAGACCAGCAGGAAAACTCTGTGTGTGTCTATAAACTATGTAGTGCCTCTCAAATCATACCACATTGATAGATGCTTGCTGTAGAACAGAGTCCAGTTTATATTTTAAGCAACAAAATGTTGGCTCAGTGTGTTTGTGCATTAGTGTGAAATGGCTTATTGAGAGAAAATGGTTTCTCAAGTAACCTAGTAGAATAAAAAATGCATTGCTAACCTTGCTTCTACAGCAACCAGTCAACCAGGTTTCCCGACTCATCATTGAAACACCCTAAATGAAGGCTAGGAGAAGACTATACTGTGCTACGCACAATTAGGAGTATGTACAAAGCACAGAGTTATTATAGAAGGAAGGAGTCATGAATTCTGTTACAGATTCAGAGGCAATGAGAGAAAGATTCAGAGAAGTAGTATTAAATCACAGATTGGGCAAGATAAATAAAACCTAAAGAAATGGACAAAGAAAATTATTGATCTGTTTAATTTTCTAATGAATATTAATATTTATGAAGATTGTGTGTGTGTGTTTTTTAAAACAGGTGTTGGGGTCGATGACATGTTTATCATGATTTCTGGCTGGCAGAAGACCAAACTCATGGATAGCATAAAAGAGCGCATGTCCCATGTCTATTCAAAAGTGGCAGTGTCCATTACAATCACCACTGTCACTAACGTCCTGGCCTTCTATACAGGGATTATGACCTCTTTCAGGTCTGTACGATACTTTTGCATTTATACAGGAACAACCCTATTATTTTGTTATTTTTATACTATCACCGGTTTTGGAGCATTTATGGCCCTGGATGGTAAAAGAGAAGTAGTCTGTCTACGTTGGTTAAAAAAACCAAATATACTTGACCACAAATGTTCTTCATTAAAAAGATGCTGCTGTTTCCCATTTGATTCTCTCCAGGAAGAACACGAAGCTGATATTCATCCAATGAATTTGTTCTTTAGAGACTATTTTGGCCCTTTTCTCATAAGCACTAAGTCCAAGTTGTTTGTAGTGCTTCTATACATTTTGTACCTTGTAATTAGTATATATGGGTGTTTCCATGTGAAGGAAGGTTTAGACCTTCGAAATTTGGCAAGTGATGACTCCTACATTACACCATATTTTGACGTAGATGAAGAGTATTTTCCAGAGTATGGTCCCAAGGTTATGGTTATCGTTACTGAAACTCTTGACTACTGGGATAAATATGCTAGGCAAAAATTGGAAAAATGCCTGGCAGATTTTGAAGACAATGACTATGTACATAAAAATCTTACAGAGTTTTGGTTACGAGAATATGTGCAATATTTGGAAGCTAAAAGACAAGATGTAAATGATAAGAATACTTTTATAAATAGTATTTCCAGTTTTATTGTGGATTTTCCACTTTTTAAGTTTGATGTTAATATCTCATCACCAGATGAAATCAGTTCTTCTCGGGCCTTCATTCAGACCACGGGTATTTCTTCTTCAGCCAATAAGAAGAAAATGTTACTCCAGTTAAGAAATTTGGCCGAAAAGTGTGAAATTCCCCTAAAGGTGTATAACCATGCATTCATATATTTTGATCAATATACTGCAATAACAGAAAACACTATTAGAAATGTCATTGTTGCATCAATAGCTATGCTTGTTGTTTCCTTATTGTTAATTCCTAATCCATTGTGTTCCTTGTGGGTAACTTTCGCTATTACTTCTGTTATTGTAGGAGTAACAGGTTTTATGGCATTCTGGAACGTCAATCTTGATTCCATATCCATGATTAATCTTGTCATTTGCATAGGATTTTCTTTTGATTTTTCTGCACACATTTCCTATGCATTTGTTTCCAGTTCTAAGCCCTCAGTAAACCAAAAATCAATTGAGGCATTGTATATGCTAGGCTACCCTGTGTTACAAAGTGCAATGTCAACAGTAATAGGGGTGTGTGTTTTATCTGCAGCTAAAGCATACATCTTCAGGACATTTTTTAAGATTATGTTTCTCGTTATGTTTTTTGGGGCTGTTCATGGTCTAATTTTTATTCCCGTATTCTTAACCTTTTTTTGAAGGTCTGTTTGAATATCCACTAGTAAATCAAAGCCCAATTATAGAATTCCTGATTGCCCCAACTCAATCTGATAAAAGTGCTCTATTAACAAAAGTCAGTGAACTAAAATCAAAGGCACATTTCTTTAACTTGGAAATCGCATTTTAAAGTGTTACTTAATATATCCTGAGAAAAATTAGTCTTTCATTAAAATATCTTTACTAAATTAGAAAGTGTTGTTATCTTTATTATGGTCTATATAATCAAGTGTAAAGTATAAATTTCCAGTTATTTTTTTCATTTTATTTTATCATTAGAAGTTCATGTCTGGAATTCAAGTATTTTATATATTATACCACAAATGTAATATTTTTATTGTACTTCCCATATGTAGTATAATGTAAAAGTTCAACTTATTCTCTCAGTCTGGGACTATTCTATGCGTTTTATAATGGTACTATGATGAACTGAAGTTTTTAAAGTTTTGAAATCCAATTCTCTCCCCCTTCGGTTAATGCGTTCTGTGATTGCTTATTCCAAGATTAGAAAATATTCACCTGTCCCGTCAAGATGGTACTGTAGTAAAACATGGTACTCGCCTCCTCCCATAACCATATCAAAATTATAACCAAACTACAGAACAACCATCATTCAGAAACACCTGAAATTAAGCTGAATGGAAGTGCCTCCACCTTTGGGAAATACAGGCCTGTTTTCCTGGTTTGGATTGGCAGAGGCGGGGTGGGAGGCTAGGGCCAACCTATGAAGTAGTTCTGAGTTCAGTATGGAAGGTGTCACCATACGGATGCTGGGCTGCAGCCCGCCGGCAAACACACGCCGACCCACACACTGAATTTACATTCCAGCCTCCCCCCCCCCCCAAAAGAGATCGCCGCTTGCAGCAGCAGCAGCAGCAGTAGCAGCTGCTCCTCCCCGGCGGCCGCCCCCCGCGGGTCCCTCGCTGGTTGCGGGAGAGACCGAGGTAGAGGGAGGACACCGCGCCGCCGGCACCGAGACCTTCGCCTCGCCCTGCCGGCTCCTCACCCTCGGGAGGAACATGGGTAAGTCACCCTTCCTCCCCCGTCATCGCCTGACATTTTTGTCTTCCTCGGCGGGTTGCAGGGTGGGAAGCATTTCTCGCGCAAAGTTGCCGGATTTCTCTCTCCAACCTCCGGGTGCGAGACGGCGGCTCTTCCTCCGGGAGCGTCGGCGCACGCGGCACGCACGCGGGGTCGGCGGGCTGCGAGGGTCCCGAGCGCGGGGTGGGCTCGACCGCGGGCTCGGACCGCCGCCCACCTCGCGCCTCCCGGCACCTCGCCGCCGCGCCTCCCCGCCTCCATTCTTCCTGCCCGAGCGGTGCCGGCACCTCGGAGCCTGCCTCGAGGTCGCCTTCGCCCGAGGCCGCCCGCCTCCTCTCCCTGGCGCCTGCGGGGCTGCGAGCTCGGTCCGCCCGAGCGCGACCACTTCCCGGAACTTCTCCGGCAGGGCGACCTTCGCCACGGCGGGGACGGCTCGTCCGAGGCGGAGTGTGAGCAAGTAGTTTGTGAGGGTGCTTTCGCCACCTGCACGGACGTGGGTTTCTTTGGGGGCAGCGGACAGCCTCCCGGGTTGAACGGATGACTTGTCAGAGGCCACGAGGAACGCGAGGAGGCTGGACAGAGCCGCCAGCTGGTGCGGGGTGACTACGGGGTGCGAACACGCCGTGCTCAGCCCGTCTTCTGGGCGCCTCCCCTGTTCCCGTGGCAGGAGACTGCGCCGTGCAGCACGTTACCAAACTTAAATTAGTTATTCCTTCCCGGCTCCCCCTGCCCAAAGCTACGTAATCTGAGTTTAGTTCCTTTGTATAGTTCATCCCAAGAGGTTGGTTTTAATGAAATACTTCAATGTAAACATGTTTTGTGAAAACTACATATAATTTATCTTAAGTTTTTTTCTCATTTGTTGCTTAACTGTTAAGCTCAGTAATTACAAAAAAGGTCTGATGAGTTGTGCCATGTAATTGAAAGCCGGACGTTTTTTTTAATAGTAGCAATTTGGACGACCATACGGATATCTACATGTTCCTCAGTTGGCTTTCACGCCTGTCTTATCATAATTTCCTGTTTTTAAAATGCGCTCCATTGGCATCTGTCAGCTCGCACTTTCCCCACCTTTCTGTGCAAGTTATTTTAAGCTGAAATGACTGTGGTCCTTTCATCTGCCCTACAGTGTTCGGCATATCCGGCGATAGGTAGGTCATGGCAACCCAGAATCTTGAAGGGAGTATCTAAATCTGGAAATGGTACCCATGGAGCGCACTGGAAAAGCAAATGCTGCCAGGTCTGATTCAGACCTTTGGCCATGTATCTGGAAGAAGCCAGTGTTGCAGGAGGAAGGCAGTATGAATGAGAAATGAATCTAGGGCCCTGAATTTTATTTTATGTTCAATATTTTCCCTTTTAATGTACTATTAGTATGCTGAGCAAATTCCTGTAAAAATTGGGTGGTGCATTTGTATGTACCGAACCTTTCTCTGGGAGTATAATTTTAAGTCGTTATTAATACAGATTATGTCTTTCTCTTAAACATACAAAATTTTTCTTCTCATCTATAGGCCACAAGTTTTGTCTGTAAAGTACATTTCCCCATGTTTCAATGTGAGCTAAAAAAATCCACTTAACTAAAATATTAATTTACATGTTGAATCAGTACCTTTTCAGTGGGGAGAAATCCAGTCCTGTTGCAATAGTGGTAAATAAAAATACTTAAAACAAATGAAATTATTTATTCAAATAATCTTGAAAATCTTGAATTTTTAAAAGGCCAACTAGAAACCCTTCTCTCATTTGAAGCTTCTCAGATAACTCTGATTAAATTCTTCTCTCTCTCCTCATAGAGCTCTGTTTGTACCTTGTTGGAAGCTTTTAGTACTTATATAACCTGCCTTATAATGGAGCTGTTTAAGTGTGTGTTGTGCATTTAATGAGTTCCTGAAGATGAAAATTGTCTTATTAATTTCTGTGTCTCCAACAGTGCTTTTCACATCGTAGGTAGTCAGTAAATCTTTGGTGAACTAATTGTTTAACTTAAAACCTATCTATTAATTTTAACTTGTGAACTTGGAAGTATGGGCTTGAAACAAGCATTTGAGTTGATAGATGTAATGGAGGTGTGGAGGAAGGGAGGCAGAGAAGCATAATTATACTGATTGCACCTCTCTAAAAAAAATTGGGTTGTATCAGCTGTATAGGTTTGGGGGCAGCCTCCAGGCAAGCCATTTCCTTCTACACTGTTGTTTTCAATGGTAAGGTGATTGCATGTATGATCAGTAGGTACCTAAACTAATGTAAATTGAAACCTTGGGAAGCAATTTTATATTCTGAACCAAATAAGTTTTTACAAATATTCTTGTACACATAAGAGGTGGAATGTGTACTGATTAACGTTAGGGAGGAAAATCACTTTTTAATCAGTCTTTGCAAAAAATAAAGTGATTTTTTATTTATTATTATTATTTTTTAATCCTCACCCGAGGACATTTGTCCATTTATCTTCAGGTAGAGAGAGAGGGAGTGAAAGGGAGAAACATCGACGTGAGAGGGACACATCGACTTCTGCCCCCCCCGCCCAGGGTCCGGGACGAACTGCAATCGAGGCACATGCCATTGGCTGGTATTGAACCTACGACTCACTGGTCCGAAGGCTGATGCTCCACCACTGAGCCAAACTGGCCAGGGCAATAAGGTGACTTTTTAAAAAGATATTCTCATGGCAGTGATTTTTCTCCATAGGAAAGTGAAGGAAACTTCTTATATACCTTCATGGACTGTGACATTTTTTATGTATATATTATAAGTTCAGCATGTATTTAATATTTACTGAATGTCAGCCATGTACAATGTATTGTGGGAGGACAAAGATGAATAAGACATTCATATTTAATTTGCTTATAATCTTAACAGGAAGGACGTAACATACACAGGTAACTATAGTAGAAATAATATAAAAGTGTTATTAAAAATAGCCTCTACATATATTATAGAGTCAGGATGAATCGAAGATTTTAGAAAATGATATTATATTGAACCAAAGGTTGGGTAAGTTTCTGAAAGGTACAAATGAGTGGAGACTATTAATTAGGTAGGGGGTGGGAGGAGAGAAATGACATAAATAAAGATAGGGAATATTCAAAGAGTTTCCGAATATGATTAGTCATGTTTGGCTGGAGCAAAAGGTAAGGAAATAGTGGGTGGCAGAGATGAAAAGGCGTTAATAGATAAAGACCAGATAATGGAGGACTGTAAATGGCAAGCTGAAGAAGTTTTTGGATTTGAATCGTCTGTTGAGAGACTGTTAAACATTTTTAGGTAGTGAAGTGGTGGGTCACATCTGTGGTTTGGGAAAATTAATCTGCTAATTGAATGCAGGATGAATTAGATAAGAAATTAGGGAATGCTTCAGAAGGTGCTTGTTGCAGTTTGGATGAAAATATTTAATGGCCTGAACTAGGCTCAGGCAATGGGAACAGAATACTGTAATTAAAGAACAGGATTTACGTAGCGACCAATCAAATATGGAATTGAGGAAGGAGTCACGTGATCACCTTGGCAGTAATGAGAATCTATTAATATATTTAATTTATTGGAAGAGGAAACAGGAATAGTCAATTTTGGAGTTGGAGTTGGACTTTTTTTGTATGCCAATTGAGATTATCTGCTCCTTGATGACAAAGACTTTCATTTTAGGTTTTGAAGACGTTTCTAACACTAGTATCTGGCACATAGCAGCTATGCAATAAAACCTCATTGACTAACTGAAACTAGGTACAAAGTATTTAACAGACAGTTACTTTAACTCTCAGGAGAGTATCCAACTAGGGATCTGGAAGTTATCTACAAATATCCTCCCAAAATATTTGAAGTTAGGTGGGCAGATAAGAGTCAACAAAGAAAAAGAAGAAAGTGTGTCTAAGGTAACAATCTTGAGGAATACCTCATAGTTAGGAAGGAGTGGAATGATTTGACACTGAAAAAGACAGAGG